TTTTTTTTTAAAATCTTATCAAATGTCAAAACTCCACAAAAATTCTACAAAATCCCACAGAATCCATTAAAATCCTGATTTAAAAGTCTTGCAGAATCCATTAAAATCCTGATTTTAAGTCTTATAGAATCCTGCAAAATCTTAAAAGTCATGAAAATCCTGCAAAGTCTTTTAAAATCCGCAGGATTTTTTTTAACTAAAAAAGTCCTTTAAAATCCTAATCCAATACACCCTCCTTACATAAATTTGTCAGCAAGAGAGAAATATAGGGTATATTACTGACATTCTTAATATATAATATCACATTAAATTAAATATAAAATTTAATTAACGTTTTATATTAAAAATTAATAAACATGTTGTAAAAGAGATAAAGTAAGGCTTATTGTTGTTCTTTAATAGGCAAGAAACTATCAAATTCATTTTACTTTAAATTAAAGTGAATTGTGAATTTAAATTTTAAAAAAAAATCGATTACATAAAGTTAAATGAAAATAATGTAATGACTTCGAATTTATAATTTTTCTTTTTGTAACGGAATCAATTCAATTCGTAAACATTCTTACATTCCATCAGATTTAAATTTTATTTTAAATAATTTAAATAACAAAATATAATAATATTATTTTTCATTTATTTTCATATATCCAAATAGGGAAATATATAAGAAATGGAATGTGTAGAACTGTAAAAAAAAAAAAAAAAAAAAAAAAAAAAAGAACTGTAGATAGAATAATGAAAATATTCCTTGACATTGATCAAGATATTGATTCCAGTGCAACCACACTTCCCTAGTAATTATCGATATGCAATTCAGCAAACATTGCTTTTCTACTTCTGTTACGGCTGAATGTCTTTTCTACCATCACATGTCATGACGATTCTCATGATATGCCCAATAATCTTTTATAAAATAATCTACTGCCCAACTATACAGAATCGACCACTGTCTACTCGATCGATCCATGGTCAACTAACACAGAAAAATACTAGTCTTTCACACTTTTTAATTTCTCTTTAACTTCAAAAAAAAAAAAAAAAACTACATGAAATCGTGGTTCTAACTATTCTAATTTGTTCCTCGTAGAGTAAACACCACAGTCTCGAGTATAAAGAAAAAAAAAAATAGTTTAATTACTAATTTGATACAAGAATGCGCATGTGGTGGCATTTCTCCTCAAAATGTCCGAGTGATCTATTCTATGTTCTAACCACCATAGATTTTGATTATTTGTGAAAACTGTGAGCTCAGCGCACATGTATTTCCACAACAACTTTAACACAAAAGAAAATAAAGTTAATTTTTCTACCAGGGGGCCATGCTAACGAAAGTAACCTCAACGTCAATGCATCATATCTAATCCTCCAGATTGATCTCGTGTTAAATTTTGGCAGCTCCTTGCCCTCTCTCTCTAAAACGTTTTCCTCTAACTTTATACAAATTAGGAATTGAGGATATTATTGAGAGAATAAGCCCCTCCCCGGGTCCAATCTGGAAGCACTTGATTTGACAAAGATTAAAGCAGTTATTTGAAGGCGGCCATAGATATTAGCAGCCAACCTCAACAGTGTCCCTTTCGGAGCCTACCATTATTATTCAAAGAATAAACTTTCTCGCTGTAAAAAGCACAACGTTGAAAAGATTCCAAAGACAACTGGCTCGTGACTCATGACATGCCCCACGCTCTTCTTATATATCCCCCTCATACTTTTCCACTTAAGCACCATTCCCACCTAAGCATCTCTGCATTATTCTCTTCCCTTCGTAATGGGTCGGCTTAATCTCCTACTTGTGTGCTCACTTACATTAACACTCTCCCTTTACCTACACCCAACCCATGCCCAGCTTAGTCCAAACCACTATGCTAACACATGCCCCAATGTTGAAACCATAGTTAGAGATGTCGTTAGGAAGAAGTTCCAACAAACCTTTGTCACTGTTCCAGCCACCCTTCGTCTCTTCTTTCACGATTGCTTTGTCCAGGTAATCGATTGCATAGCCATTTAGTGCTAGTTAGGAAAACTGACACTATAATTTATCTGATAACCATGTTGTGTATCAACTAATCTCTGTTGAGAATTTTGTTGTGATTAAAATTTAATGACACCAAAATTAGTATAAAAAGTAATTTTTTATCACTAGATTTGGTCATTGATTAAGTTGTCGTTTGGGAGTATTTGTTGTTGTAGTATTCTGATTTTGTTGTGAATTTAATGTTAAAGGGTTGTGATGCTTCCGTTATGGTGGCGTCCACTGGAAATAACCAAGCAGAGAAGGATCACCCAGACAATCTATCCTTGGCGGGTGATGGGTTTGACACAGTGATCAAAGCAAAAGCTGCATTAGATGCTGTTCCTCAGTGCAAGAACAAAGTCTCGTGTGCTGATATTCTTGCCTTGGCTACCCGTGATGTTATTGCACTGGTATGTTAACTTAAAGTTGGAATTTAAAACTTGTGCATATTATTCCGACGCTACAGTTAGACCTAAACTAGGGAATTAATATATGCAAGTGCTTTTGTGTAGGCTGGTGGACCTTCATACAGGGTTGAATTGGGAAGATTTGATGGGCTAGTTTCAAGAGCTTCGGATGTGAATGGGAGGCTTCCTCAGCCAACCTTTAATTTGAATCAGCTGAATTCACTGTTTGCGGCAAACGGGCTTACCCAAACTGACATGATTGCTCTATCAGGTAATGCCATTGCCCGTGCAACTGCTTACAATGGGTCCCATTTTTAGCATATGGACGTTGTTGGGTCCTTCTAGAGTGGTTCACATTAGTGTATCATCTCATTTTTGTGATCGAAACAATGGTCAACTCAAGAGACAATAGTCATTCACGAGCCAAATAGTACACGTTTAAAAACACAAGGAGGTGGGGAGGATGGGAAATTATTTTTTCTTGTGTGCACAGCCACAAACTTGACTGTGTTACGTGAAAATTGATCCAATTATATATGTGGTGATCTCGAATCATGTGATAATATCTTGTGGGACGGAGATAGTACACATTTAGGTTGTTTGGTTAATGAAACTTTAGAAAGAAAAAAAATAAAGAGGGTAGGAGGAGGTTGGGGATGTTAAATCAAATGATTAATTTCCTTATATTATTATATCCTTGATGTAGGGTTTTAATTAAATAATTTGTTTCCTTACGTCACCTCTTCAATCTTTTAAATAAACATTCACAAGTTTTTTAATTGAAAAACTTGATGACATAAACGTGAAGAATCTGATCTAAATTTTATCTTCAAAAGTGAATTTGTAACACAGTTTTTACTTTTAAATAAATATTCTTTTCAATTTTTGATTTGAAACGTTTTTAAAAAGTATTAAATTCGCATTTTTGAAAATTTTAATTATTAAAATACTTTAACATATTATGTGTAAGCTGAAACAAACAAGAATGAAAAATAATAAAAGATTCTCGTATTAAATATAATAAAACCCCAATGATTTGTGAATTTTAAATTGAAATATTTTATGACTCAATCAAACAACATAGAAAAGCGAGCTGCATGCAGCCAAAAGAACCAGCACGAAAACGAAGGGTCGTTCAGATCTGAAATCTGAATCAAAGTGCTTACCATTGTACCGTAGCGCACTGGATCATTTCCTCCTCGTCCCTAAACGTGGTTAATTGTGATTTTGCAGGTGCACACACCCTAGGATTCTCCCACTGCAACAGGTTCTCCAATAGAATATACAGCAGCCCAGTGGACCCAACACTGAACAAGGGCTACGCGGCCCAATTGCAACAAATGTGCCCACGGAACGTGGATCCAAGGATTGCCATCAACATGGACCCAACCACTCCTCGAACGTTCGACAACGTTTATTACCAAAACCTTCAACAAGGGAAGGGCCTCTTCACCTCGGACCAAATCCTCTTCACGGACCCAAGGTCCAGGAGCACCGTTAACTCCTTTGCTTCTAGTAGCGGCGTTTTCAACGCTAACTTCGTTTCTGCTATTACCAAATTGGGCCGCGTTGGAGTCAAGACTGCAAGAAACGGCAAAATTCGTACCGATTGCTCCGTGCTTTAAACACAAACAAAGTAGCAATTTTAATGCCACGAATTTACAAGGGGTAGTTAGATTAATTGTTGATAAATTTGTCTATCAATAATTTGGGAGATAAGGGAGGAGAAGGTTGAGGTTGAGTTTTCATTTGTGTAACGTTCCAAATAATTCAAAGTTCTCCAAATTTAAGGACTTTGAATTGTTCATAAGAATAATCGTGTTACCCAGAGAGGAAAAAAACAGTCAATAAATGGATTTTGCATTACTTTAATCTCTATCTTTTTTTAGTTGTCGTTTATATCAACCTTTTAGATCCAATAATGACATGTAAATATTGTTTAAATATTAAGTAGCTTTCATTACGAATATATTTAATTTAATAAAAAACATCCATTTGCAATTGTTGAACGAGAATAAATTATGTCTCGTGTTCACCCACAAAACATTATGCATGTTAAGTATATATTGATATTTCAAGAATTTAATAGTTATTTATTGTTAGTATAAAAAAATACATTGATAATTAATTAGAAATCACCATTTGAATGTATTATAAGTAGTTATTATAAAAGTTAATAAATTTATTATTTATAAAAATTTGTGATTGGATGATAGTTTGTTAGTGTATCATGGTCTTTTTTTTTTCTTTTTTTTTTTCATATTACATAGTTAAAAAGTTATATCAACAATAATTTTGATTAATTGATAATAGTAAGTGTTTTAAATTGTTAATATATAATTATTAAACTCTTGTTTGAATAAAACTTGTGCTAAAAACACACATTTTTTTAAACCAGTAAAAATGTTGTCTTTATACTAGTTTCAGCAGGAATAAAGAACTAACTCGATTAAAATAATAAAAATATAATCCTAACAGTCCAAGTATTTAGTAGAATAGAATTTAACAACGTATTTTTTTCATTTTAATTTACGTTTTCTCCATAAACAATGAAAGCTGTTGATTTGTCAGCAATCAATTTTCTTACATAATTTTTCCTGCATTTCTTCGCTTGATATAATCAACTTCACCGTACGAATACAACGGCATAACGCATGTGTTGCTGACCTATTTGTATTAACAATGATTTCAATCAATATCAAAAGTTCATAACCATTGCAATTATTTATATATATAAACAATTCCATCACCCAAAAATTAAATCGAATAAAAAACCCGCACACAATCAGAATGACAACTTGAAATGCATTTATTATGATGTTGGTCTTCAACATTTTTAACTAATTGAAGGACAATAGATTTCAAAAGTTGGATGAGAAAACAGTCGAGCAACATCAAAACAAAAGATATCTTTCAGGGCTTAGTAAAAAATTAAAAATTGAACAAACAGTATTAGTCCCTTGCTAGCCAAAACATCAAATAAGAAAGATAAAAATGATGAATTAATGAGTGACTATGTCCTCTAATTGAGGGTCATCTAAAACAAAGTTTGAGAGAATACTATTTACTTTAATTGAGAAAGCTATATGTCAGAGATTTGTCTAATGGCCTTTTTATCTAAATGTACCTGTTTTCCTTTATAAAAATAAATAGCATAACATTTTTGTTTTGTTGTTAATAGGCCTAAAGCTTCAATTTTAATAGATTTATCTTTAGATCACCCTACAATCAAGCAACAAAGGTCTATCAATCCAACGATCTACATTATATAATCATCAAAGAATAAATTGAAATTTGGTGGAGGATAAATTAAATAAATATTTAAATATATTTTAAGTTCTTTAAATTTAAAGTATATTTATTTTTTATCTTTCAAATTTAAAATTATTATTTTTAATTTCTATAATTTTTAAAAATTTTATTTCATTCTTTCAAGTTATTAATAACATATATGAAAGTGTGAGATTGAAATAATTATATACACTACAAAAAATTATTTAATTAGTGGGGTTTTTTTCTGGCGGTTTCAAAAAACCGCAAAAAAATATTATATTTCTGGCGGTTACTTTAACCGCCACAAAAGAATTATATTTTCAGCGGTTTTAAACCACCACAATCTTTAAATATCTGTTCAACCTTTCTATATCACACGTGGCTACATTTTTTATATTATTTTTAAAAGAATAAAAATCAAAAATAAAAAACTTAGATAGTTTAATCTGAGCATTTCCCATTTCCTATTTTTAATCAAAAACACTATTTTATTACTCTTTTTCTCTCCACGTTTTAGGGTTCACTCATTCATTCTCTTTTTTTTGCAAGTCAAAGAATTTGCTCCTGATGCGAGACGAACAAACGCCAAACTCTCATTCTCTTTTGTCTTCCCCGACAAATTTCAAAGTCCAAGAGGTAATGTAACTCTTCTCTCTACTCAGCGTTCAATTATAGTTTCCTCGTGATTATGGAAAATTGCAGAGAAATGTGACTTCTACGGCTACAATTGTGGTGGCGAAGGCATAACTTCAAAAAAAGTTGGAACCCTAAAAATTTCTTGAATGTTTGAGAAGGTAGATTTGGAAGGGAAAACCAACCACGATTTGGAAGGGAACGGAGGCAGTGGCGGTGATGGAGATTATCGCGGTGGCGGAGAAAGACGCGGAGTTGAGGAAATCGGCGTTCAAGCCAAACTCACCTGCTTGCAAGGCCGTTGTGGATCAAGTGGTGAAGATAATCGAGAAAGCGGATTCGAAGCTTCTGGTTCCTCTTGGTTTGTATTTAATCCTTAAGTACATCTCTGTACCATCTGGCCTTGTGCAACTACTCTGCCTCTATGGATATTCCCTATTTGTCTTTATTTCGACTCTGGTGAGTTACTGCTCTTCAAATTTTCTTTCAAGAAATTATTAGGTTATCTTGAACTATATGATCTTTAAATATTCTCTATATAATATGTAATCAAGTGTAATTATTATTTCCTTGTAAATTGTATGATGAAGTTAATGATTTTACAGGCTTAACATCAATATGCATAATAAATAAATTACATCACAAGTGTCTCAATACTAACCAATAGCTATAACAAGGTTGACCAGTGCAGTTTTCCATATATGAAGGTATTGCTTAAAAAACATATAAAACACTAGATACACATCACCCCATTATCAAAGACTTAAGTGTAAGTTGGCATTGTTAGTATGGATTTTGTTGATTAACAGCAGTTCCTATATTTTTTATTTTTATCAAGTTTTCTGATCGTTTGCACACAAAACATGTACACTTTCGTCGTAGTGTGATGGTAAGAAAGGGAAGAATTGAGAGCCACATTTGAGAGAAGATGTCAAATTGCAATTTTTGTTCTGGGTGGGTTGTGAGCATCTTTAAATCAATATAGATCAATGTAAAACACGATAAAATGATATTTTACTCCCTGTAGAAACGTGAAACACTTTTAGAGAGGTTGTGGGTATCTTCAATCAGTATTATAGGGGGGTTCGGCCACCACCCTATCGGCCGCCGAATGGCAGAACCAGGAAGTCGAACGCCAATCGGCCATCAGGATCGGCCTATCATCATTTGGTACTCTTAATCAAAGATTAGGGGTTAATTAGTCGATTAAGGTGTATTACCTAATACGGTAAATATGTTGCAGGGCCCATGGGGTCCAGGGCCCATAAATGTCAGTATAAATAGCTCAGGTCAAAAGGTAACGTCACTGTTCATTAATTACCCTAGATATTCGTGCTTGTCCTGACTTGAGCGTTGGAGTGCCTTTTGCATGTACCAACCCCTTCACCAGCGTATTGGATCGGAGCTCTCGTTCGGCCTTTAGACTACTAAAATACTTAGTGTGCCCATCAGACAGGTACATTTTGGCGCCCACCGTGGGGCCGAACTGAGACGTTTGTGAAGATTAATTGAGCGAGACAATGGCGATAACAAGGAGAACGAACACGGTAGAACAACAACCTGAGGAGGAACATGTTGAGGTGGTGGACGAGACCGATCTCTCTGAAACTGTCCGTCTATTGAAACAGGAGATGGCCGCGATGAAACAACAGCGGGAGAAGGATGCAAAGGAGCTTTCAGCCTTAAGAGCCGAAAACGAGGCACTGAAAAATGATCCGTCATGGAAACCCACTCAAGTGACCAACACGCAAACCCAGGGGTCCTATCAATCTTATGAGGTCCATACCTCGGCTCCTCATGCCTCGACAGCAGCACCTCCAAGAATCCCTTCGGCTCAACCTACTGTTGGTCGTCCTGCAGACTTGGCCACTATTAGATCGCACAGTCACCCTTTTACCCCCTCCATTATGCAACTCCCTTGAATGGATAACTGGAAATCCTTGCCCATTGATAAATATGATGGTACAACAGATCCTGATGAACATCTGGATGTTTTTTGACGCAGGTGACGTTGAGCACAACTGATGATGCTGCACTGTGCCGGATCTTTCCAACGTCTCTCAAAGGCAGAGCCCTGAGTTGGTTTACTCGGCTCCCTCCTAACTCTATTGACTCGTTCAACACCTTGTCTGCTCAATTCACCATTCAGTTTGCAACGAGTCGCCCTCACAGCTTGACATCTCTATCTCTGGTCGACCTTCGGAAAGACAAGAAGGAGTCACTTCGAACTTTCATGGATCGGTTTAACAAGGCAGCATTGGAAATCCGAGACCTCAACCCTGCCGTGGCACTCCATCACCTCACAACGGCATTGAAGCCAAGGCCGTTCGTCAACAGTATTTGTAAGAAACCCCCTTCGGACATGAATGATCTACGAAGGAGAGCCGACAAGTATATGCAAATGGAAGAGTTGGCGGAATATCGTAATCAAGCACGAGCTGAACCAGTAAATAAGACAGAAAAGCAAACCGAACAACCATTCAGAGGCCGAGGCAAAGAAATAGCACTAAGAGATCGGCCCGTGTGTGGGCCGAAATACTCTCATTATACACCCTTGAACACCAGCAGGGCAGCAGTATTAGAACAAGCTCTCGCGTCCGAAGTACTGGCAGTTCCGAAGAGAGCTTCTACACCACCACGTGCTGATACCAACAAGTCTTGTAGGTATCATCGTAATCGTGGTCATTCCAAAAAGTATATATTTTGTACAATTTATTTAAAATTATTGTTTTAAAAAAATTAAATCTAAACTAAATTTTTATAAATAAAAAAATTATATAATTTTAACGAAATAATAATTTTGTCAATTAAACATTTTTTTCATCATATCATATCATTATCTAGTTTATGTTGAATGCAGCAACACATTTGTACAGGTAGGGGGGTTCGGCCACCACCCTATCGGCCGCCGAATGGCAGAACCAGGAAGTCGAACGCCAATCGGCCATCAGGATCGGCCTATCATCATTTGGTACTCTTAATCAAAGATTAGGGGTTAATTAGTCGATTAAGGTGTATTACCTAATACGGTAAATATGTTGCAGGGCCCATGGGGTCCAGGGCCCATAAATGTCAGTATAAATAGCTCAGGTCAAAAGGTAACGTCACTGTTCATTAATTACCCTAGATATTCGTGCTTGTCCTGACTTGAGCGTTGGAGTGCCTTTTGCATGTACCAACCCCTTCACCAGCGTATTGGATCGGAGCTCTCGTTCGGCCTTTAGACTACTAAAATACTTAGTGTGCCCATCAGACAGGTACATTTTGGCGCCCACCGTGGGGCCGAACTGAGACGTTTGTGAAGATTAATTGAGCGAGACAATGGCGATAACAAGGAGAACGAACACGGTAGAACAACAACCTGAGGAGGAACATGTTGAGGTGGTGGACGAGACCGATCTCTCTGAAACTGTCCGTCTATTGAAACAGGAGATGGCCGCGATGAAACAACAGCGGGAGCAGGATTCGTAGATAATATTCCGTAGATAATAATCATTTTTCTTGTATCCGCCACAAACGGTTTTTGGCGAACGTAGATCCGGCGGTTATTTATGACGCCGGTAATGCGATTTGTGGCGGTTTTTAACCGCCAGAAACTGTAAAAATAAACGCCACAAAACACACATTTTTTTGTAGTGATATAATATCAATAGATAAATTTTATGTGAAAGTATTTGTCAGATTTTCTAACAAATTTATGTATAAAAATTAAAATAAGATTTTTTAAAATTACAAAGTCTAAAAAAAACTAATTTTAAATTTGATATATTAAAAACAAATTTATCAGACTAAAACTATATTTAAACATTATTATCTTATTTGGTAAAGGGAAAATGAGTAAAAAAATAGAATGGAGTGCAAATAAGGTTTGTTGTTTGGTTGAGAAGAAATAAGAGAATGAAAAATTAAAAGGTGATCACCCTCATCCTCTTATTTATTTACTTCTTTATTCTCTCTTATATATACCTTATTTTTTACAATTTTTTTCACTTATTTCTCTTCAACTAGATAATCAAATTTCTACTTTATTTCTTATTTATTTTTACTTATTTTTTATTTCTCTCCACTTTATTTCTCACCTATTTCTTTCTTCTCTATAAAACACAAGATAAATAAACTCATGCATATAAGTCGAACGAGCCAACCTAGGTAGGTGAAGTAATAAACAAATCATCTGCGTACCAATCCCGTTTGTTCACCTTATATGTGTGTAATGGCAAGCTCCATCTGCATGCACCCTTTGCAGTTCCTATAAGTTGAAACTATTCATCAAAAATCATTTAAGATGCTAGCGGCTGACAGTATTAAGAACCAAGACAAATACACATATATACTTAAAGGGGCAGATGCTGAAAAGCCATGCCAAAAAATAAATCCTCTCACTTAACATAATATGCAAACATGCTTAAGGCTGAAAGCTCCTTTGCATCCTTCTCCCGCTGTTGTTTCATCGCGGCCATCTCCTGTTTCAATAGACGGACAGTTTCAGAGAGATCGGTCTCGTCCACCACCTCACCATGTTCCTCCTCAGGTTGTTGTTCTACCGTGTTCGTTCTCCTTGTTATCGCCATTGTCTCGCTCAATTAATCTTCACAAACGTCTCAGTTCGGCCCCACGGTGGGCGCCAAAATGTACCTGTCTGATGGGCACACTAAGTATTTTAGTAGTCTAAAGGCCGAACGAGAGCTCCGATCCAATACGCTGGTGAAGGGGTTGGTACATGCAAAAGGCACTCCAACGCTCAAGTCAGGACAAGCACGAATATCTAGGGTAATTAATGAACAGTGACGTTACCTTTTGACCTGAGCTATTTATACTGACATTTATGGGCCCTGGACCCCATGGGCCCTGCAACATATTTACCGTATTAGGTAATACACCTTAATCGACTAATTAACCCCTAATCTTTGATTAAGAGTACCAAATGATGATAGGCCGATCCTGATGGCCGATTGGCGTTCGACTTCCTGGTTCTGCCATTCGGCGGCCGATAGGGTGGTGGCCGAACCCCCCTACCTGTACAAATGTGTTGCTGCATTCAACATAAACTAGATAATGATATGATATGATGAAAAAAATGTTTAATTGACAAAATTATTATTTCGTTAAAATTATATAATTTTTTTATTTATAAAAATTTAGTTTAGATTTAATTTTTTTAAAACAATAATTTTAAATAAATTGTACAAAATATATACTTTTT